CACTCTTGCGCCTTTGGGCCAGGGAGACAGGCTGGGCCAGGCAGGCCATCCCCAAACCCCTCCTATGCCGGCCAGGCCCCTCAAGGGCCTCACAGCCCTCACCAGCCTTAGGGTAGGATAGGCCAGCACAGGCAGGCAAGCAGCCCGCAGGGGCGACTCCTGGGACAGTGGCCCCTTGGTGCTGGCCCACCTGCCAGTCAAGGCTCTCCTCTCTCTAGCCTCCTTAGAGCCCAGCTGGCCCTCAATTGGGCCTCCCTTTACCTACTACAAAGGTTGGGAGGTACTGACTAGCTACAGGAGATCAATTTCAAATCTGCAAAGAGAAAAATTTCTAAAACTTTTCTAAAAACTCTTCTAATCATGTGGATGATTGTACTTGCTAGTTAGCTAACTCGCTTATGCCTGGATTACTGGGAGTTTAGCTTTTCTACAGAAACAACACCTGATCACTGAGGAGTGGTACAGGGTAGTGGGGAGCTGGGCCGGCTTGAGAGCCATCCTGCTGGGATTCAAACCCCACTGCCTCTGGGCAGGCTGCTCACCTGCTCTGAGCCCATTCCCTCCTCCTGTAAAAGGGGACCAGAATAGCACCTACACCCTCTGGTTAGTAAGTGCCTATAATGGGCCAGGTACTGAATTTCTTCTTTTTTTTTTTTCTTACACATTATTATTTAACACTCAGAACAACGTTTTATTTTTGAGGTGTAACTTACACACAGTAAAGTGCCCAAATCTTCAGTGCGTAGCTCAACAAACTTTTACATGTATGCTCTATCTTCTAATCGAATCTCTATCGTCATATATCAGTTTTGCCTGTTTATGAACCTCACACAAATGGACTCATACAATGTGTGCTCTTTTGTGAACAGTTCCTTTCACCCAACTTTGTTTTTACAGTGCACCCATGTTGTCGTGTATCAGTTATTGCTCTTTTGTGTAGCTGTGTCATATTCCCTTGATCCTCGCCACAGCCCTGTAATGTGGGCAGGGTGCGTATGCTTCCTGTACCCCATGCTTAGAGGAGAAAAATAAGTCTCAGAGAGGTTATGTAACTTGCCCAAGGTCACACAGCTTGGAGGTGGTTGAGCAGGGGCACAGATCTAGGACTGGATTTAATGAGTTAATACACAACTGTGTGACTGTGCCAGTGTGCGTCTCCATTGAACTAGATGTAATCATCATCATCACCATCCCATTTTATAAGTGAGGAAACTGAGCTCTAAGCTGCTTACTAAGTTTTTAGCTTCAGGTCACAGAGTAACCTTGAAGCCCAGCAAGGGACTTGAACCTGGGTCCCTCTGACTCCCAAACCAGCTCTTTACCCTGGTCAATAGAGCCCCCCTAGCCCTGGAGTACTGGGATCAGCAGAAATGAACTCTGGCCAGTGTGGTCATGAGCTGCTTTTCCCTGAGGTACAATTGGGAGTCGGGGTTGGGGGAGCAGCTACCTGACCAGCTCCAGGTGGTGAGAAAATTGCCTTCGTTTTGGCCATTGCCAATATTTATTTTCATTGCACCCCCCGCTGATAGCGCAGGCACAGTCATCACTCACAGCCCTGTACTTTGAGATCCTGACTTTGCCAACATTTCGAAACAACTGCAAACAGCCTAAACGTGGAGGAGGCGTCCTGTCCACCAACCAAGAGCTGGCTCTCCCGCGTAGCCCCTGCCTGGCTCCTCGGGGACTAGTTTCCCACGCCACTAACTCAGATGCCACCGTTTGGGACTCCCCGGGAAAGCACCGTAGGCCCTCAGGCCAGGCTTCTCTGTAAGCCAAGCTTTACCCACCAGGAGGTGGGCCCCTCAGTGCTGACCTGGCCTCAAGAAAAGGCCAAGGTTTTGCCCTGCACCTCAGCTCTCCAAATCCCTGCCTGCTGCCCAGGAGGCCAGCAGCAGGCCTTGGAAGGGCCATAAGCAAGGCAGCAAGGGGCAGCCAGCAGCCGGGCTGACCTAGCCACCTCCTCCTGCTCTGAGCTCAGGTAGTGCCCCAGTCAGTCCAGCCAGACATGATTAAATGGTTGGCTAGGTGCAGGGGTGGGAGACCCTGGGGGAAGAAGGGAACAGGGCCAACCCCCTGAGGCAGCCCCAAGGCACCCTTTGGTCTGTCGATCATTAACAGAAGCCACCTCAACGGCAAGCAAAGAAGGAGAAAGTCCAAGAGGATGGCCTGCCCCCTCCCCCCGGCTCCCTCCTCCAAATGTGCCAATCCAGGACCTCGTGGGGCATGAGATCACAGCACTCGGTGGAGGAGGTGTGCGCCGAGTCATCTAGTCTAACTGGTTGCCTCTCGTGCTCCTGCCGAGTCTCCATGAAAGGCCGAGAGGGACAGGAATTAACACTGGTTGATCTGCCGTCATTGTGTGCCAGAGACTGGGCCAAACACTTTCCACATGCTGGCCTAGACACTGGGCACAGCGGTAAAATGCAATGATGGAGCTAGCCTGCCTGGATTCAAAGCCTGACACTGTCCTCTGTGTGACAAATTAATGAACTTCTCTGCACCCCAGTTTCTCAGTATGTAAAATGGGGAGAGTAGAGAACTCCCTCTGTGGGGTCATTATGATCATCAAATGGGTTAGTAATACACATGACGTTCCTAGAAGACTACCTGGCACTTATGAAGAGCTGTCTTTACTAATGGCTCGCTCGATCCTCACAGTAGCCCCTTGAGATGCAGCTGAAAAGTCCAAGGTTGAGTAATTTACCCAAGGCACAAGCTTGTATAATGGGAGCTGGGATTTGAACCCTGGTCCAAAAGCTCCGTCCAGCACCCCTTCTTCGTTCGTGCCACGGATCCTTACCCCTGCCATGATCCACTCTGCCCATCTTACGTCTGCCCCCCACTCTCTGTTGGACCTTAAAGGCCCTCTTTTCATTAGAGTTCCACTGAGGCAGAGCAGACCCCATCCTTCCTCCTGCCAACGAGCCTTCTGGGCCAGGAAAGGCAGGTCATTGCTCAGTGGCCAAAACAGCTCATTTCTTTGAGCTGCTCCAAGGGAAGATCTTCAGCCCACAACCAGACTGTGGGTTTCAGGGCCAGCGGCCACGGAGGCCCTGCCTACGCAGGGCAGACCTCCTGCCGAGATGCCTCAGCGAGGGGCTGGGGGGGAGGCCTCATGCCCCAGGACTCTGGCTGACAAAGCAAGGCCTTACCTTTCCTGCCCTACTTCCCTTTGGAGACCTTACCTTCTGCTCCCTCTGTGTGTTTCCTATCCTCCCGCGCTGTGAGGGAGCTCAGAGATGAGGTTTCCTGCCAGCTCTGGACTCACACCTCCATGGCCTGCCTGCCAGCCCAGAGGCCCCTTCGTCTTCTAGTGGCCCTGAAAGTGTTCTGCTGTTTCCTTTCTCGAGTGGCTTTGGGCCCATCTCCTCTACCTTTAAGGTCCAGATGGTACAAAATCAGGCTCTTATGGCCACCACACTTGGGCCTAGGTGGGCTAAATCCCAGCCTGCGTGACTTGCCCAAGTGACACTTAGGTCCTGGAGCTTCTCCAGGTGGTGAGGAGCCTCCCTGTGCCTTTGCAGCCAACCCTCACCCTGCAGCACCTCCTGGAGTCAACGTCTCTATTTTCTAAATCAAGGAACTGACAGGAAATTTAGGGCTGGCTGGAAGGTATGCTCAGGTCTCTGGGAACCTAACCAGTGTCACCAAGAGTGGGGACCTAGAAAGATGTCTGCCACATGCTCACGTGCACCTGCAGAGAAAGATCTCAAGGTGAATGATTAAATGTCTTCTTTGCTTTTAGTCAGAGAGGATGATCACATGCCACCACCACCACCCACCCCAAACACACAGTCACTGCCTCCTTAAGGGACAAAAGGCCTAGTTTACTCCAGTCCTAGGAAGGGCTGCTTTCCCTCTTCCTACCATCAGGCCCTGCCCTGGAACAGGTAATAGTCCCTATTTTTCTACCTCACACCCCTGGTCCCCAGTAGATACCTGCTGATCAGGGAAGAAGAATCCAGAGGGTACAAGAAGGTCTTCCCAGTCTCAGGGACAGCCCTGGCCTGGCCAATGTCTGTAGCAGATCTAACTACCTTTGAGAGAGGCTTGGTGGAATCAAAAGGGAAATTCAGCTTACCTCCCAAAACTTACCGGACATAAGGAACCAAAGATAACTGAGCCTCCAATAGCAACATAGCTGCCTTCTCAAAAAGAAATGCCCCCAAGGACCAGATTTTTAGAAAGATCCAACCCCCCTCTGGCAGGTAAAACATCACCTCTAAGTGGTCATCTGGCCTTGGCTGGAGCCCACCATTTCTAAGATGATAATCTACCTATCTTGCATGGCACCAAAGGTGCGACCAGGACTAAGGTGGTAGAAACTATTGGCGACTTGCTACGTTCCATTGGCCAGTGTTAACACCCACTACTCCTTAACAGCCCTCCCAACATAGACACACACGTCAAATCCAAGTGGAACCAACCCAATCCCCAGTCCCCTGTGACTGAGCCCCTCACCACCCTAGAAGTCCCCCTCCAAGCATGCAATGCCTCCTTATACCCACCACGGGTAGGTGTTTAGAAGTTCAAACTTGAGGTTAATTTCCTGGGGGAAAAAATGAGCCCAAAGCACCCAAGTAACTCACTCAAATCCAGGCTTGCTAGTGTGCCATTGCTATGTCCCCCTTCATCATTTGAGCACCCCAAACATCACCCAAAGGCTAGGCAGGCTGGGCAGGGAAGACTGGAAGCCCCTGAGCCTTGGCTCCCAGGAAGGACTTCTGAGGCTACGCAGGTGTGGGCAAGCCTGACTCAGTCAACAACTGACACACTGGGCGGTCTTCTTAGAAGGAGCAAGTGCAGGGTCCTTTGCAGAAAACCTACACCCCATCCCATCTAAGCTCAGCAAACTCCCAGCATCAACAATGGGAGCTGTAGGTTTAGCTGTAAGGATGAGAGGAAACCAACCACTGTCCCCTCCCCTCCCCGGGACCGGCAAGGTATGTGACAGGCCAAGTCAAACCACAAACCAAGTAAAACCAGCTCCACCATCAATGTTTCTTGAAAAAACGGGGTTTATTGATTTTTTAAACTGCAAATAGTCGTTACAAAAAGTTTTTTTCTTTTAAATAAATTCACACAAAGAAAGAGAAATAGAAAGCGACGGTAGTGACCAGCAAGAGGAATAATAATTACATTCATCTTATGTGTGTGTGCCAGTTCTGTTTACATTAACATTGGAAAACTCCAAACCTGGAATCCAGAACCTCAAATCTGCGAGTGGAATGTCTTGAGATGGGCACGTGGAAGTCAAAGGGTTTTCTCTCTTTTTTTTTTTTTCCTTTTAGAAGCTATACATAAAAAGTTGTTTTCCTTCTGTACTGTCACAGAACTTTTACATACATTCTCAGTCCTAGTTGTAAAAGGCCTAAAGAGAAAGAAACTCAATTTGCAGTCCAACACAAAGGGGGGAATTTCTAAAATAAATAATCCAACAGTTTTTTGCATTTTTTTAAATTAATTTTTCATTTTTTTAAAATAAAATAACCAAAAAAAGTGTAAAGTTACAAAAATGTCGTTGAAGAATAATATATTAAAACTGTGGAAAAAAAGGAAAGACACGTCACAAAATTTTAAGATTAATATGAAGATCATAATTTAACATAAAAGAATATATTCTATGGATTTGTCATCCCGATAAATATGAACAAAATTAACAAAAAAAGCATAGTTTGGCAATAAATACGTTTTGATAAGTTAAATAAGCTTTTTTATATTGATGTGCAGTGACAAGCAAAATTTTTGCTCTCCAATTTCTGAAAGTTATATGAAGTTTAAAACCAAGGGAAAAAAGCATGGCGTGAGTGCTCTAAGGATAGACCTACGGTATTCTAGAGCAAAAACCATTAAAGCTACTTCTACAGGAAATCGTTTTACACAGATATTGTATGTGGAATGAATACCATTAACTGCTCACCCCTTACATTTTTTTTTTAGCTTTTCTCTCATTTTTTTTTGTTGTTATTTTTTTTTTTAAGATGTCACATATGAACTGGGGAACTTTAGCACCAAAATCAAGTCTCTCATAGTCCATCTAGCGTCCCCTTCCTCCCCACTTAAAAAAAGAAAAAATTAAATCACAAAGTCCCACTTAAGTCAAAATCTTCGTCCACTTTTTCAGCCTGCCTTCCTGCAGACCTCCACAAACCCAGGCAAGATTAGTCAACAGGGGTTCGGGTTGGGAAGAAAAAGGTTTTGAATGTCAAAACAGGTTTCCCCAAAAATCCAAGTCTGGCAACAACTCTGGGGGGGGTGAAATTGGGAAGAGAGGGGAGGAGGAAGTGTGTGGGAGACTGAAACAGGGAAGGTGCACTTGTGTCGCCAGTGGAGGGAGCTGCTGGTTCTGGGCCTCCCCTCCCCCTCCCCATGGGCAGAGGCTCCGGGAGGCCCACGGGTGCCCTCTGGCGCTGAAGAGGTAATGTAGTCACAGTGACAAAGTTAGATTACAAGGCACTAAGTTGCTTCTGTAAACTGTTACTGCTTTTTCTTTTGTGATTTGGCACTTAAGGCTTAAGCCAGAAAAAAGGCATCTACTGACAAATTTGGGACTTGTCTGTTATGCATGGTAAGTGGGCTATAAAATCCAGGGAGGGGGTTTCAAGCCAGAAGAAGCTACTGACAAATTGACTTGTCCTTATGTTAGGTGGGGTAAGGGGAGAGGGAGAAGGGACATTCCAAGGTTCTGGGGGAAAGAGGTTGAGCTTAACCTTGTTAATGTAGGGGCTGTAAGGATGGGTAGGGAGGTAAGGGTCTGGGATGTGGCTGCGGGGTTGGGGGGTTGGGGGTGGAGTAGGCAGGGGGTCCCTCCCTACCCTGGTTTAGTCATCTGAGATGGAAAGTCTGCTGAAAATGGGCAGGCGTCTTGAGTTGTCCAAGGTGGGGGAGTCTGAGCCACTGTGGCTGCTGCTGGAGCTGCTCAGGTAGCCCTCCTGGTCCGAGAGAGAATCCTGAGGGCTGGGGGGAGAGTCAAACATATGAGGGGACTCGGACATGGGCCGGAAGAGGAAGGTGGTCGGGGAGCCACCCCCGGGCAGCCCCATGCTAGGGGCAAAGAGGCTCGCCAGCTCCCGGCTGGAGAAGGCAAAGGGGTTATTGGTGCCATCGGGCAGGGTAGGTGAGCCCAGGAGGTCATCAGCGCTCAGGATGGGGGGTGGGGTGATGGAGGTGGGGCTGTCCAGCAGCCCGGTGGCAGCGGTGGTGGCAGCGGCACTAGGAAACCCAGCAAAGCTAAAGCTATGCTGGAGGCGGGGACGGTCAGCGGAGAGGTCCCGGGCCCCGGCCAGGGCACGGCGCTCTTCGGCATTGTGGATGAAGTGGCAGCGGGGCCCGTAGGGGCAAAAGCCGATGGTGTGGAAGGTGCGGCACAGCTCCGTCTTGTACTTGGGGTGGCGGGTCAGGCTGCGGAGCTCGTGGATGCCGTGTGCGAACTGGCACTTGTCCCCGTACTTACAGGCGCCATTTTCCTCGAAGGGGCGGCACAGCTCAGTCTTATAGCGGCTGGAGTTGACCTGGCCGCTCCCGGGCTGCTTCTGGGTGGGCAGCAGCCGCTCGCCCCCTTCTGAGAAAGAGCGGTCTCGGAAGCGGCTGTCGCGAGAGCTCAGAGCTGGGGCTGGCTCACCCTTGAGGCTGCTGAGGAGCTGGTTCTGGTGGAACTTGGAGCTGGGCAGGGTGACCGAGTGCCTCCGAGGGAAGCCCCCCCCAGCAGGGGTGCCCACTGCCTTCCTGTCCAGCAGGCAGCCCCCTGCACTGGGAGTACTGTAGTTGAGCATCTTATTACCCTGGAAGGAAGAGAGACAAGAGAAAAGATAGTTAGTAATGGTGACATCCACTAGGATGTCCCACTACAGACAGCCCCTTCCACAATCTCTCCACCCCTGCCCTAGCAAGCCCCCTTCCCTCTCTTGGCTCCCACAGACCATCCACCTGGGTTTATTTTGGCCCCCTGCATAAGAAACCACAAAATTTTGGCCTGTGTGACAAATTATTTTACGTATGGACCCTGTTCAATGCTGACTTCTGAAATGCACCCCCCATATCCTCTGTCCCAAAGTTACCACTTGTATCTATAAAATGCAACTTCTTCACCGCCCAAATAGATTCTTCAACTCAAAATATCTCCCACAATGCAGACTTCTTTAAATTTCCCTCCCCTAACGAAAACGGATAGACCTCAGAGAGGAGACTAAATATCATGAGCTAGGTTAGGTCCCTTTCTAATCAGTCCTGCTTAATTGATACGCCCCTCCCCCACAACCTGGCCTAAGACTCCCAACTTCCTGCTTCAGAAGCCTTCCCTTCTGGCAACAGGTTTATTGACTGCCTTTGCCTTTTCTTGAGAGGTAAGGAGGGAAGACGTGGGGGCCTGGTCTGTGGTTGGGGGAGAGAGGGATGGGATCCTCGAAAATAAAACTCACCCCCCCATGTTCCTGGAAGGGGTACCTTCCACAGTGATCTCTCCCACCATTCCCCACCTACTCCCACCCCACCTCCCTTCACTGAAAAGATGCCTTTGCAATTAGTCTTCTGGCTGCAAGAGCGGACTGGGATAAGAGCACCAGTGTTTAATCTTCAATGCAATGCTGCAGATGGGAAGGAAAAGGAAAGCACCAAATCCCCCCACCTACATCCCAGTCAGTAGCAGACTGGGGGGCAGGAATGGGGGACAGAGCCACCGCAGGCAGGTTTCTATTCCAGTGGGACCCTGGTCACCTGTGGAAAGTATACCCAAGATTTGGAAAGGGGGGGAGGACCTGGGAGTTGGCTCCCATCCCATGTGAGTGTCATTGTGCAGATTCTAAAGTTGGTCCCTTAGGATGGGCGGGGTGGGGATCGGGAATCTGTAACTGCAACCACCCCACCGAGAGGATTACAGGAACCCAGTAGAGAGCTGGTTTCCAACAATGAGGTTCATTTAAAAAGTCCTGCAAGGGGAGGGGGCGAAAGAAAGAGAAATAGATCAAAGAGCAAGAGCGGGGAAGAGAAGGAAGAAGTGCTGGGGAGCTCCCGCAGCTGCGCTGCAAGTGGAGTTTGGGAAAGCGCAGGGAGGGAAGGAAGCTGAAAATTTAAACTTTTTTGATGTTGCTCTTCAGCTCCTCAGCGTCCCTGCACCCCAACCCTGCAGCCCTGGGGCGCTGGCAGCTGCGCCAACAGGAGCAGCAAGCTGGGAAAAGAGAGCAACATGACCCGACGTGTTTAAGGCAAAACACTTCGGCAATTAAAAGCAGCCTAGCAGCTTCACCCTTTCAAATTGGGGGGAGGGCGTTGGAAAAAAATTTAACAACATCCAAAGGCTTTTGCTATGTACATTTAAATTGCACTGCTGGAACATTACAGGTTTAAAACTTGCTTCTTCCAACACTAGCTGGCAAACTACATGTTTTAAGGAGGCCTCAGTAAATCCCCATTTGCGGGACCCTTGAGTTCAGGCCAGCATTTTGTCATCACCGCCCCCCCCAATCGACGAGTTGAGGTGCTCTGCAACACAGGTAAGCGGGTCAACCCGAAGCCCACTTTCTCCCAAAGTTTGCAGCATGGTCGGTTATCGGGGAGGAAGCTCAGCCAAGCTGGGGCAGACGTAAACCCCACTGCAAACTCGCTCTGCAACACCTTTTTTTGAATTACAACTTGGCCTTTTTCTTCCTCGCAGATACCCAGCTCCTCCAAAGCAGGGGAAGGAATCTCACAGCAAAATATCTTCACGAAACCCACTTCCACGAGGGATCCCGGACCCCAACCCCACAGGCCTGCAATGTTGCTGTACAGAGTTGAACCCCTCCCGGCGTCGCCGAGACCCAGAGCGCACACCGGGAAACCGAGCAGACCAACGAACCCCGGCTCAGGCAGCACGTTCTGTACTAAAGAATCACCCAAAACTTGCCCTAACCGGGCCCCTCCTCCGCGGCCCCCGGGCAGCCTTGCCACGCAAACTGTGTCCCCCAAAATTCTGATCTCCAGATTCACATGTAATCCCCGCCAGGAACTGCTGAAACTCAAAGGGTGGGAAGGACAGGGCCAAATTCCTTCAAACTAGGGGGGAGATGCAGACGGAGAAAAGAACCATCTCCCTTTACCCTCTTCTTTCCAACACCCAAACTTTTGGGGGTTCCTTTTTAAGGCAAAAGAAAAAGACTTTTTAAAAAGCGAACGCTCCGCCCTTCTTTACCTTGCATAAAACTTCGCTCAAGTCGAAGATGGTGGCAGACACGAGAGTGGTGGTCATCCTGGGCGCTCGCACGGGGCAGAGGCGAGTATCTGGTGTGTCGCGAAGGTCCCGGTGCGGGGAAGGCGCAGCCTCCGGCTCTCGGGTTTGGAGTCCCACACGCCAGCTCCCGGCGCCCCTCGCCTTTCTGACTCTCGGGCTGCGGCGCGGAAAGCCCAATTTATAAAGTTTCAGAGTGGCCGGGGAGGAGGAGCTTTAAACTTATTTAAATGAGGAAGAGGAGGGAAAAAAAGTTGATTGACACTGAGGTTGAATCAGCCATGCGGTCAAGCTAAGGGGGGGTGGGAGGTAGAAACTTTCAAAAGGAAGAAGGGGGAGGGGAGACGAGGAAAGAAGGCGGAAAAAAAAAAAACCCGCTCCGAGCCTCGTACAACTTTTTTTTCTTAAAGAGGAAAAGTTTCGAGTCCGCTGGCTTTGCTCCCCGGAGCTTCAGGCGCCCCTGTGGGGCCGCGCGCGGCGCAGAGGGGGAGGTGCGCGCCCCCCCCTTTGTCAACCTCGGAGCGCGGCTCTGTGACATCACTCATTCCACCCCCTTCGGGGTTCTTGTTGTTGTGTTGTTTTTTTGTCGGGCAGGAAGGCGGGCTCGACTTTCTCTTTTTGCCAGCGGGAGCCGAAGCCCGTCCTTAGCGCCCAGGCTGCGGTTTCCATCTTGAGCTGGTCTCCCTTGAAACTTCTCCAAGTGCCCGCACTGCTTACCTTTTCCCGACTTCCGCATCGGCTCCCCTCCGCAAACTCGGCAGGGCGAGCAGACTGAAAATTTGGGACGCACAAAACGTCTAAGTCTAGGGTTTTAAATTTTGGGTTGTTTTTTTTTTTTTTTTTTTTTCAGCGGGGCTGGGGTGGGGTGGACTGGGGAAACTTTTTCCCCAGGAGGACCCGGCCTGGCGGGGGCGAGCGCTGCACGATTTAGCGCGCCGCACGCGTCTACACTCGCGCTTGCTTTGCAGCCGCAGCACTCCGAGTGTGGGCGGGAAGGGGGAGGCATCGCGGAAAAAGACCACAGCCCGGGCCGTTTGTTTTAACAGGCCTAGGCGTGGCGTTTCTTAAACGCATCCAATATTTACACTTTTTACTAAAGGAAACCCTGAATCCTTCACGAACGCCCCTGCCTCTACTTCCCTTCCCCAAAAAACACACCGAGCAACGCATGACTTTCCACTCGCGCTCTGACTTATGGGCCGCGCCGCAACCTTCCCCCTCTTCCCCGCCACACACACCTTCAGACGCTAGAACAATGAAAAAAGTTACTTTGGTAAGAACGAAGGTGGAGGGAGGTGACACTTTTAACTTATTGTTGCTTCTCCCCGGCCCCCACGGGAACGGAACATATGGCTTGTCACGCTGCTCTGTTTGGGCGGGAGGGAACATGGGGTCCACGAAACAGAAAGGCCCTCAATCTAGTATTACTCTCTTAAAAACGGTAAAACATGCCTTTATGTACTGTTAGGTTTGGATGTCCCCTGCCCACCCAGATAAAAAGTTGCTAACGTGTTCCACACCCGCTCCCTGCGCCTTCGCCTGGGTGCTGGAGTGAAGACCCAGGCGGAAATTGTGGGGTTGTGTTTCTTTCCTATTTCCACGCGGGCCCCGCCGCCCCGTCAGCCTTGCACGTCCCTTCTCGGCACTCGAGGCCGCCGGGTCTATTATGAAACCCGGTGCGCCGAGTGGCTAAGAGGGAGTTCCATTGCGATGTAATTAGGTCACCCCATTATGAGCACGTTTCTTAGGAGAGGACTGGGCGGGCCGAGGAGATCGCTCGAGTCGCACTCTCATTCCCCCCCACCCCCATTTTTATTGCATTTCTTATTTATTCGTCAACTTCCGGGCAAACGCAGGGAAACCTTCCAAATCACAACAGTTAGAGGAACCGGTTGTTTTTCAACTTTGCGAAACACAACTTTTGCTGCAGCCACGAAGCTACGTGACACCCAAGCAGGGTCTGCTTTTATTTTTCCTTTCTGACTTAAATCGATGGCCCCCATTTTAACCCGGCTGCTGCCCCCTTGCTTTTTCTTCTGCTGTCCAGCCGCCTGTGGCTTCCCTCCCCCTGCTCCCATTTTTTCAGCTTTACTTGAAATCTGGCAAGCGCCAGAAAGGGAAATAACTTCCATCCACCTTAATTTAAATCATTCAAGTAGAGGTTTCTTTCTTAAAGGGATGTTTGCTCGTTCCTTTCCCCAGCTCCAATGGGGGTCGGCGGGGGGGCGGTTTCGTGCAGTTTCTGGGTGATGAAGTAATGAGTTCCAGATTTCAGGACAGAGCAGGGTGTGCGTTAAAACCACAAAGTTAGTCTCAGTTCTGATGTGAAGCTATTTCGGTTTTTTTATCCCCCCCGTTTCCACCCCCCCCCCCAAAAAGAGGCCGGCTGCTCTTTAACTCCCAAGAGTTCGCGAAGCTCAGCTGGGGAGGATCGGAGCGGGGTGGAGAAGCAAAGGGGGGAAGGGGAGCGGGAGCGGGCGGGGCCCCCTTCCCGGCCCAGGACCCGTCCCCGCGCGGCACCGGCTGTCCCCCGGCTCCGGGCGGTGCCTCTTTCCCCGCAAAGCTGCGGGAACGGGCAGGAGCACCATTACGCGGCCTCGGAGTCCCAGGCTGGCTAAAAAGTGTTGGGTTTTTTTTTCCCCGCGCCCAAACAGAAAGCCGATTCCTCGAATTTCCTCCGCTTTCCCAACTCCCGGCTGGCCCTCCCCTCCCCTCCTCCCCGGGGGCGCGGGCTGCGCGAGGCGGCGGCCGGCCTGGCCCGCTCGCTCCCGAGTTGTTTACCGGCCCCGCCGACCGACCGGGTTTGTTCCAGCGCCCAAAGCCTGTCTCTATAATTAAACTCTTTTTTTAATTGTCGGGTTGAAACGTCATTTCGGGACTTTCCAAGGGTGAGGGCGCGGAGGGGAGGGAGAGAGCTCCTTAACCCTTCGCTGACCCGGCGCGGACGCTGCGGCGGGCGGAGGTGGGGTGAGGGTCTGAGGGCCGGAGCCGGTCCGCCCCGCCCAGACGTGCTCCGCAGGTGGCCGGTGCTGGCGGGCCAGCAGTGAACCCCCACCCGGGCAGGAAGGCCGACAGGAGGCGTCGCGGCCCTTCCCTGCCGCCTTCGCTCTGCAGTGCGCCCTCCAGTCCTCACCGCGCCGTGCCCAGGGGGGCCGCCCCGTCACCTGCACTGCGGCTTCCGACCCGGCGGCTGTGGGCCGGTTCCTCAGGCCGGGGCCCGACTTCCGGGCCCTCCCCATTCACTGGGAGCGAGCTTGGGGGTGGGGGTAGGTGTTTAATTTTGTGAGAGGGGAAAAGTGAAAGTCCTCGGAAGGAAGGAGGCGCGGCAGATGTACATATTCATCGGCTAGTCTGGACCCTGGGCGCACGTCGCAGCAGGTGAGAGCGTGAAGCGCTGGGCCGCGCACCCCCGGACGGCCTGGCCCTGTCACCGGTGCCTTCTCAGGCACCCGCTCCCCAGAGTCGTGCGGTGTTGCACTTCCGGGGAGGCTTCAGGTCATTTGCAAAATCCCCCAAATTCTTCAGATTGTGCCCTGCCCCTCCCCCAAAATCTGCTACTTGACACCTTGGCACAGCCTCCGGGCTCCTGGGTTAGAGAGAGAGGGAGGTCGGGCGGAGTGGAACCCGTGAAGTCACCTATTAGGGTTACCTGTAGTGTTTGTGGAATGCAGATTCCTCGGCTTGGATCCGGACTCAGAGAGTCATACATTCTGGGGTGGGGCCGGGGATCTGCATTTTTGGTAAATTTCCTGCTGGTGATTCAACCGCTGAAGTTTGAGAATTAATGGCTCAAGACATTGAAGTGGCGGCGATCCTTGATCCAGATCTTCCGTCTGCCATTTTTTAGCTTTGTGACTTTTCAAGTTTTTTTCATCTCTAAAATAGGGATGATGACAGTACTCCTTAAATTTGGCGGGTAAAGTGCCTAGTTTCATGCCTAGCTGAAACCTTCTGTGTGCCTAGTGGTTGTATGTAAACCATTCTTGGGCCCTTATTACACCACAAAACAAATTCGGGGATATTCACTTTGCAGAGGATTATTCAGTACAGACTTCCATTAAATGGTGAACTGACAACTTATACATTTGATCTGTGTCACTCTCTGCCCCTGTCCCCAGACCTGGACGAGGCAGGCCCTGATGCCTGGAAATGGGTAGAGAGCCCTGGCACTAGAGCCTGGGAAAGAGGGAGATGGTTTAGAGTGAGGAATCTGCTGCCCATCTGAAAAATACCTCATCACTGTCGCAAGTATTTAAAATGACTAGACTAGATCACCTGGGCCCTGTGGATAGTACATAAAAGCCTCTTCTATCAAAGTCCTCAAGCCCCTCAGAATGCTTAGTGGACATTCTCAGCTGCCAGTATAGCCCTGAAACCAAGCAGAGACCTCAGGAGAGAGTAGTTTAGTGTCTACTATAAATGTGGCCCCATATGGTATCTGAAACCTTAGGGAGCAGGCCATTCTCTGGACTAAAGAGAATCCAACCCTGGTCTAGCATGGCCCTGGGGGGATCTCATTGTCTTGTTCTCTGCCTGAAGTGGGACATCTAAACTCTCATTCTTAGGTCAATTGTTTTAACTATTTCCCTGCAGAGATGTGTTCCACAATTCAGTTAAATTCCCAGGCTAGCCCACAGAGCTTCCCCACACCCCTGCCTAGAGCAAACCCTTAGTCCAGCATAATCTGACTCTCTTACTCCATCCCTGACTTTCACTCCCCATCACCACTTCTCCCACCCCCACCCCTGGAGACCCCCTGTGCCCTAGTCAGTTTTAGATGAAAACCGGCCATCTTCCTCCTGCCCCAGGGCCTTTGCACGTGCAAACCTTTCTGTGTGACTCAGGTTTCCTTTAGCCCAAGTAAATTCTAAATCATTCTTTAGAACCCAGCTCCATCATTACTTCCTCAGGGAAAACACTCTTTTTTTTTTGCAAACACTCTTGATGCCCAGCCCCCCACACACACACACACCCAAGACAAAGTATCTGTCTTCTCTTACCCCCCCCCCATGGAATGTTCATTTCCTTCAAAGTAGTTATTTCAGTTTGTGAGTATACATTCATTCCTGTAACTTTTCCACTTCTTAATTTAACATACAGTATTATTTGGTGAATGCTTCTATGAATTTTAACATATGAATAGATTCATGTAACCACCACCACAATCAGGAAACAGAACAATTCCATCACCCTCCAAAAACTCCCTCATACTGTCCCTTTGTAGTCCCACCCTCCCCCATTCCTAATCCCTGGCAACCACTCATCTGTTCTCTCTTTCTGGAATTTTGTCTTTTCCAGAATGTCATATAAGTAGAATCATATGTATGATTTCACACAGCATAATGCCTTTGAGATTTATCCATGTTGTTGTATATATCAATAGTTCCTTTTTATTGATAAATAGTATTTCACTGTGTAAGTATACAGTATCTTACCCATTCACCTGTTGAAGGACATTGGATTATTTCTAGAGCTGCCATAAACATTCATGTACAGGTTTTTATGTGAACGTGAGTTCTCATTTCTCTAGGGTAAGTATTAATAACTAGGAGTGAGATTGCTGGGTCATATGGTAAGTGTATGTTGAAATTAATTTAAAAACTGCCAAACCATTTTGCAGAGTGGCTATACCATTTTGCATCTCCAGCAGCAATGTATGAGAGTTTCCAGTTGCTCCACATCTTCAACAGCACTTAAAATTATTACTATTTTTTTATTTTAGTCATTCTAATAGGTGTGTAGTGGTATCTCATTGTGGTTTTAATCTGCATTTCTCTTGTGTGTGTGAGTGAGAGAGAGAGAGATAGGGTCTCACTCTGTTGCCTGGGGTAGAGTGCAGTGGCGTCATCATAGCTCACTGCAACCTCAGATTCCAGGGTTCAAGTGATCCTCCTGCCTCATCCTCCTAAGTGGCTGGGACTACGGACACATGTCACCATGCCTGGCTGATTTTTCTATTTTTTGTAGAGATGGGTTCTCACTGTGTTGCTCAGGCTGGTCTCGAACTCCTGGCCTCAAGTGATCCTCCTGTCTTGGCCTCCCAAAGTGCTAGGATTACAGGTATGAGGCACTGTGCCCCCAGTCAATTTGCATTTCTTTAATGGCTAATGATGTTGAACACCTTTTCATTTGCTTATTTGGCATCTATATATCTCTTTGGTGAAGTATCTGTTGAAGCCTTTTGCTTATTTTTTAGTTGGGTCATTTATTTTCTTACTGTTGAAAATTTGAGAGTTCTTTATATATTCTGGATACACTTCCCCTGCTAGATATGTGATTTGCAAATATTTTCTCAAGTCTGTAGCTTATCTTTTCATTCTTGGAACAAGGTATCTTTCACAGAGCAAAAATTTTTCATTTTAATGAAGTCTAATTCATCAATTTTATCTTTTGTGGATCAAGCTTTTGGTGTCACAGCTAAAGACTCTTTGCGTAACCCCAGGTCATTAAGATTTTCTGTTTTCTTCTGAAAGTTTTATATATTTTGATGGTCTGTTGTGAGGTGCATAAATGTTTATAATTGTTCTATCTGCTTGCTATATTGAGCATTTTATAATATATAATGTTCTTCCTCATTTCTTGTAGATTTTTTTGATTTAAAGTCTATTTTGTCTGATATTAGTATAGCCATCCCTGCTCTCTTTTGGCTACTGTCTACATGGAATATCTTTTTCTCTCCTTTCACTTTCAATCTATTTGTATCTTTGGCTCTAAAGTGAGTCTTTTCTAGAAAGCATATGGTCGGATCAGGTTTTTTTTTTGATCCATTCTGCCAA